ATGCTACTCTACAAATTTACAAAAATCATTTTTTCCCCTGCATGCATCCCAATGTAGTGCTGAAAGGGGAAAATTAATTAACTTTTTTTCTTTTAGAAATTCCTATAAAAAGAACAAGAAAATAAAAATATATGTATCCAATCTTCTACCAAGTTAAAGCACTATGTGTCCTAAAAAAATGATGTATACTACATTAGAACTGCTGATCACCATAACAAAAACAATGCTCTGGGACTCAAGGGGAATTAGAGAAAAATCACTTTGGGTTAAGTGGTTAAAAAAAAATCACAGAAAAAGAGATTTACTGAGAAAAAAGTCTATAAAACTAGTGCGATATTTGTTTTTGATAAACTAACACATTAATATCTGGTTCTATGGATGCAGTAGCAACTCTAAATGAATTCTCAAGGTGTTCATCAGATATTTTGGTTCTAATTTTACCCTTCATGTGTTTCATCATTGAAAATAGTTGCTCTCTAATATACAGTAGGTGCTGCCGAAAACTAAATACATCAATACGGTGTAGTTTTGACAAATATGTTCACTATACATTTCGTGGTGGTGCACAAATTATGTAAATGTTGCATTGGAAAAAATATACAGGAAAATTAATTAACTTTTTTTCTTTTTAGAAATTCCTATAAAAAAAACAAGAAAATAAAAATATATGTATCCAATCTTCTACCAAGTTAAAGCACTATGTGTCCTAAAAACAATGATGTATACTACATTAGAACTGCTGATCACCATAACAAAAACAATGCTCTGGGACTCAAGGGGAATTAGAGAAAAATCACTGTGGGTTAAGTGGTTAAAAAAAAATCACAGAAAAAGAGATTTACTGAGAAAAAAGTCTGTCAGATTGCGAGAGAGAACATCTCAAGTTAGGCTTTACCACAGCTGCAATCAGTCAAGATATGTACTTAGTGTATGACTGACTTCTAAAAATCATTGACTAACTGAACCGAAGTGCACTGAGGTTTCCAATGAAAAAACAGGGACATCCACATGGCTTACGTTTTCTTAAATGGAAAATTGAACTGAGAAAACACATGGTTTGCAGTATTAAACTTTCCCTGGAAAAGGCTAGTAGACTGAATGTTATGCTTGTCCAGATGTTTCAGCATTTTCTGAATTACTGACCTGGCACAAGTATACAAATCTGGAGCTCTGAGTTTCTACTGACACCATTGACAGTGGGAATGGCAGCCTCTCTATTCCTGTGCCTGCTTCCTCTAAAGCATGGATGTCCAACCTTCTGACTTTTTTAGGATATATTGGAAGAAGAGAAATTGTCTTGGGCCACACATACAATTGGGCCACACTTGGACCACACTTACAACAAGGATAGCTGATAAGCAGAAAAATCGGTCAGATCAAGTTAATGTTCACTGATATAGACAATATCAGTGATAATCTGACTAATAAAACATAATTTTTTTTGTAATATTTTTTATTATAAAACTAAAAGAGGGCAACATAAAACTAGTGCGATATTTGTTTTTGATAAACTAACACATTAATATCTGGTTCTATGGATGCAGTAGCAACTCTGAATGAATTCTCAAGGTGTTCATCAGATATTTTGGTTCTAATTTTACCCTTCATGTGTTTCATCATTGAAAATAGTTGCTCTCTAATATACAGTAGTTCTGCCGAAAACTAAATACATCAATACGGTGTGGTTGTGAAGAGTGGGAGATTTCTCTTTGGGAAGATAAAATTTATAGAAGTCCAGTAAAGAGACACTATCAATTTATTCTTCAGCTGCAAGTGTTCTCTAAATGTAAATACATCAATACGGTGTGGTTGTGAAGAGTGGGAGATTTCTCTTTGGGAAGATAAAATTTATAAAAGTCCAGTAAAGAGACACTATCAATTTATTCTTCAGCTGCATGTGTTCTCTAAACGTAAATGCATTTATACAAAAAAAAAATTTTAAGTAAGTTTACGATTTTGTGTTGCGTCACATTCATAGCTGTCTTGGGCCGAGTATGGCCCAAGGGCCAAAGGTTGAACAAGCTTGCTCCAAAGCATCAAATAAGTATATAAGATTAGTGACACATCTTCTTTTTGATGGACCCTGGTACAAAGCTAGCACCATCAGCTGTGTAGCATAATTTAGCTAATAAACACTCAGCATGATATGAGGATGTTTAAAGCTAGTCATACACATCTTGAATTTTGGCAAAAATTCTATCTGTAGGTTGCCAGTCCCAACTAGCTCAACAAAAATCAATTTAAAAATTGAATGGGCCAGATAGAAAAATCTCAACTGAACAGTGTCAACAACCTATCAGATGCAGTCGCTGTTAATGTATTTAGGTAGCTGTTGGTGCTGGAGTTTCCTAAATAAAATAACTGGCACTGGAGATTATGCCACCCATGTTGTTTAGGAATCTATTGATTTTCTACTTTAAAAATCTAAACATGTAAGGCTAGTTTTAGGCACAAGCAAATAGCAGGGGTCTTGAAAAACCTACGTAAACCCAAGAAAATCATGTGGAGGTGGCTCAAGAGTTGTGATTTGAAATAAAGCTCAGGAACCCTCTAATCTGACAGAGTTTGAGCTATTTTGCAAGCCAGAATGGGCAAAAATGTCACTCTTTAAATGTACAAAGCTGGTAGAGACATCCCCAAAAAGACCTGTAGCTGTAATTGCAGCGAAAGGTGGTTTTACAAAGTATTGACTCAGGGAAGGCTGAATACAAATGCACGCCACACTTTTCACATATTTATTTGAAAAAAATTTTTAAAACCATTTATCATTTTCCTTCCACTTCACAATTATGTGCCACTTTGTGTTGGTCTATCACATAAAATCCCAATAAATACATTTACGTTTTTGGTTGTAACATGACAAAATGTGGAAAATTTCAAGGGGTAGGAATACTTTTTCAAGGCACTGTATACTGTATTTGTTATGCATACATTTTAAAAATAAAGTTCAAAATGAGCTGCCAGCAGTGCTGTGTTGCATTTTCTCTGTGTTTTTCTAACTTTAGAGAGAGGTTGTTAAAAAGTAAGGTGACCTTGCTGGACTATTAAATGTGAAAGCTGGGAATGTCTTGGAATCACGTTATATGGAATAATTATAGTAAAAAATAAAAAATTAGACAAAACATATTACTAATAATTAAACATTATAACAGATCATTTTTTAAACTAGTAACCGATAAAATAAAATAAAACATTCAAATTGTTTTTTTTACTTTTGATTAAAAACATGTTAAGTCAGATAAAGAACTGTAGCTTGCTACTGTGTGTAGAAGACTATCCTGTACAGCATATGTGTAAGAGAAGCTGTGTGTGGGACAACTTTGAAAGAAAAAAGCATTAGTAGGTCAAAAGAGCAGCACACAGACTGACTATAGACTATTTACGAGTAGATGAGAACTGTAGGAGGGCTGGGCTTAGAGGAATTTGTAGGTTAGTGTCGGTATTTTAAATTTGATTTTGAAGAGGTGGGAGATAGTTATAGCAATAACAAAGTGTTAAATCTATTGGACAAAAGCTCCAATCTAAACAGTCTGTGCTGCTTTCTATATTTTAAAACTGTGGGTATAGGATTATAACTTTTTTTTTTTTTTTTTTTTTAATGGTTGAACTGGATGGACTTTTGTCTTTTTTCAGCCAGACTAACTATGTAAGTGATATGATGCAATACACATCAATACTCTTTTAATAATGCATTTTAATATAAATAAAAACTCAGCCAAAATACAGATTTCAATTAGATAAATATAATTATTATTGTGAAATTTGTTAACTTTATTTTTATTTATATAGTCTTTTTCTTTCATAAAAAAATAGCACTTTGAAAAGTTAAAAAGTTAAATTGCAAAAGAGCCCTGAAAAACAGATATTGACAGTCTGAGTCACATGGTAATAAACCAAAGTTTGCTTGTGTGCTGTTTTTCAGCTGGGGTCACTCTTACACAGAATCTCTACAGATGTCCCCCCTTTTTTGATCTATTTTCTATGTTTAGTGTTGAGCCCTGAGCATTTTGTACATTTTTGAGCACTTCCTCTCCGCTGATAACTGAAGCAAGGGAGCATTTTCTCTCCACTGATCATTAATACAAGAGACAATTTACTCCACTGGTCATGGCATTGAGCAATTCCTTTCTACTGATCACCAATGTAAGGGAGAACTTCCTTTCTGCTGATCAAAATTTAAGGAGGCACTTCCTCTTTATTGATCACCAATGTAAGGAAGAACTTACTCTCCACCAATCACCAATGTAAGGGAGTATTTCTTTTTCACTGATAACCAATTCAAGAATGCACATTATGTTCACTGATCATCAATAGAAAGGATCATTTCCACTGCATATAAGGGGATGCTTCCTTTTTACTGATCAACAACATGTGGCAGCATTTCCTCTTTACTGACCACCAGTGTAAAAGGACACTTCTCATTTTAGCAACAATACAAAGTGGCACTACTCTACTTAACAATGTTAAGGCTGTATTGTTTCTCGACTGATCACAAATGTAAAAGTAAACGTCATCTTCTTCTCCACTGATAATGTTAGAGGTACTTCTTCACTAAGCACCAATGTAGGGGGTCTCTTCTCCCAAGATAACAGGTGTGAAGAAATCCTTCTTCAACGATCAACCTTACAAGATGGTACTACTTCACTGACTACTAATAAAAGGGGGCATTTCTTCATAAGAGAACACTTCACCACTGGCCACCAAGTTAGGGAGACATTTTTCCTGCACTAATTATCTTAACAATTGCTGTGAAGCAAGAACCATATTAGTGGAGGTGAAAGCTATCACCAGGCAGCTCTTCCTGTTCTCAGGATTGCCCCTTGATGACAGATTAATGTAATACAGTAATCAGAGGAGAGTGGATGGGATATGCCTTTGGTTATGTCCAGGGGCGGACTGACAACTCATGGGGCCCCTGGGCAATAAGGGATCATGGGGCCCCTGTGTCCTTGCCCACACTCAAAAAAGCCTATAAAAAAGGTACCAGGGGCATTTCATGGGGCCCCTACTGACCCCGGGCCCTCGGGCAGTGCCCGAGTGCTCGAATGGTCAGTCCGCCCCTGGTTATGTCCTGACAGGCTTCTGTACGCTAACAGAATGGAAAATGCCTAGTTATTGTCACATTTGTGCATAGGGATAAGTGAATCTGCCTGGGTTCAGCTTGCAGGAGGTTCTTCGAACCCAGCATCAAGTCCAAGAACCCAGAACATAGTGGCAAACCCAAGTAAATTTTAAAGGATAATGAGCAAACTATTGATAAAAAGGGCATGGATATCTGGCCAGTGCAAAAAAAAAAGTCCATAATAATAACATATTTGTGGATGCTGTAGAGTTGTGGTGTCATGGAACAGTATGCTTTTTGTTTTTTTTTTTACTGCCAATTTTAGCAACAGTGTACACTGGCAGTGCATATCCCATGATTGGTATAGATTACATTGATGGACACCGTGAATGGCATAAATTACACAGTAATCAAATTTAACTTTGTGTTTTTTAGTTCAACTAAAGCGATTGAAAGGTTTTTATATGCTCTTTGTGGGAATGGGTAGGGGCACTAATGTACCCCTATGCTCATTCCCCTCGGAGGGGTGAATGTCTGGGTGCCCCCAAATATAAAGTGGTCTTCTGGATTCCATTACAAGTCTTTACATATTTGTAAGCAGGTGCTTATGGGGTGTCATTGTGTGTATTTCTGCTGTTGTATTCATTGCACTGTGTAGCTATAGAGACAGTTACAAGTTGCCTGGGATGAGAAGGGGCAAACTGTGTCTAGACTCTTTTCCTGGGCTTTCTGAGTCCTGCCCCCTGCTGTAAGCCACATAAATACAGGGGAGGGCTCAGAGCTCTCTTTCTTCTACATGGCATTTCAGAGGAAGTACTGCTGATACATGTAGCCCTGCTGAAGCACATGGCCTTCTGGGTCACCCTGCTGGGATTCTCCCTGGACTAGGAACCTACAATCCCTGGACTTTTGCTGAATGGACATTGCTTTCCTGGAAGGTATGAATTGGGGGAAGAAAGTAGTTGCAATGGGTAAACAAACACTGGTGTAAAGTGATAGCAGCCTGTCTTGGAACATGGCACCTGGCGTGGCGATTGATACTTCAGTAGAGAGAAGGTCAGTGCTCTGACTCCATCCCCAGAGACTGGTTCCCTACAAGTAGCTGGACCCAACTCACATTACAGAGATCCATGGCCTAACGGCATATTACAGGAGAGCAGGAACAGTTAACTTGCAAGCATGAGGACCATGCTAGGTGCATGGCGGGACCCCATTCTTCACTTGGAGTGAGGTGGCTGAGGTATGCTGGACAAGTGGAGAGGGCATAGGCTCAGCGGTGTCCCTTCTAAATGCAACATACAATAAAGAAGGTGTGTAGTGACAAGGGACAGCAAGTTTCACAGAATGACTCTGCACACTTAACAACTGCTACGGCTCGGCTCTATGGTGGTACCCTGACTTAATGTTTGACTTCACACAAACGTGAGAAAGGTACCCCCACCTGCAAGGCACGATGGCCCAGTCCACATATTACCACCACCTCCTTTCTTGGAGCATAAGATGTGGGGAAGATAACCTTCTTGCTCAACATAGAGAAGATTCTTTTGAGAGGTGGGGGTAGGCTTTCCTGCCACCCCCTGCAAGGTACTCCTCCCCCAGTTTTGAAATGTATGTGGCCTAGTGTGGTAAAGGAAGGGGGCTGCATGCTCACTGCCCTCTCTTTCCTGGCTACCTAGGCTGCATGTCTAGATAAGAGTTTGGGGGGGTTTTTAAAGGGAAACCTATGCTGTTTTTTTTCTTTGTTTTTCGAGTATGAATAAATAAATATGAATGGTCACTTTATTTTTAAACATTATCTTGCTCTAGGATAAAACTTAATATGTTTTTTACCCTATTTATATACAACATTAAGGGGCCCAGGGAGTTTCTATAATATTCTTATATGACTGGCCACAGTGTTAAATTGGTAGGACATTTTCAATGAGGAAGAATTGGTCGATATATTCTAGTTCTCTCTTTTTTTTTCTTTAACCACCTCCTGCCCGCCATATAGTACAATGACAGGCGCAAGGTGGTTCTCTCGTTCTGGGACGACGTCATATGATGTTGTCCCACTCTAACCGTGCATGCGCGGCTTTGGGAGCGCGCAGCTCGGCGATCGGCGGTGTGCTGTGTCCCTCGGACACAGTGGATCACTGATCAACGGAAAGAGCCGAAGATGTTGGCTCAGTCATGTGATCAGCTGTGTCCAATCACAGCTGAAAACATGTAAATAGGGAAATGCCAGTTATCGGCATTTCTCTCCTCACGAGCTGTCACTCTGACAGCTCAAGAGGAGAGGAGAGCCAGTAATCGGCATCCCTCAGAGGGGACACGTGCACTGATCATCAGGGCACTGATGATCAGTGTGCCCTGATGATTTGTGTAGCCCCAGCAGTGCCACCTGTCAGTGTCCATCAGTGCCAGCTGTCAGTGCTCATCCATGCCACCTGCCAGTGCCCATCAGTGCCACATCAGTGCCACATATCAGTGCACATCAATGCCACATATCAGTGCCCATCTGAGCTGCCTTTCAGTGTCACCCATCAGTGCCAGTCAGTGCCACCTATCAGTGCTGCCAATCAGTGCCAGTCAGTGCCGCCTATCAGTGTCCATCAGTGCAACCTATGAGTGCCCATCACTGCAGCCTCATTAGCACACATTATTTTCAAAATTTTCAGTGGTTTTTGGTTTGTTTAAGAAAAAATAAAAAAACCCAGAGGTGATTAAATACCACCAAAAGAAAGCTCTATCTGTCTCAAAAAAATGATAAAAATGTCATATGGGTACAGTGTTGCATGATCGCGCAATTGTCATTCACAGTGTGACAGCGCTGAAAGCTGAAAATTGGCCTGGGCAGGAAGGGGGTATAAGTGTCCGGTAGGCTAGTGGTTAAGCTGGAAAGCAAACAGTGATTTATTTTGCTGTAATGTTTTCAGGTCAGTAATTGGGATTGTTTCTTCTATGACTTGTGTTTGAGCTTATTTTATTTGGGTTTTATTTTGATAGGGTATTTAATTTGTTTTTTTTTTTTTTATACAGGTACAATGGTTTGCGGAGCACTGCAAACCACTGAGGTGTTGTTTAGTCCACCAAAGCATTATAGTTTACAGTGCACCCATGAACCATGATTTACAGTGCACCTGAGCACCAGAGCTTATAGCCCACAAAAACACCACATCCCCCCATACAGCTGTTCTAAAACCTGCAAATAAAAGTAGGGAATATACCTCTTTCTTGAGTACACCCAGTCACAATTAACACATCCTTCTACCTACCACTGTTAACATCTGCTACTGTTGTAGGTCTGCTGCCAATTCTGTCTAAAAATGCGGTCCTAGCTGCTGTTCTTTGCAATGCAAATTTTGTGGCACCCCAAATTTTAGCAGCTGTGTCACAGTGGAAACTGCTGTCTATTTTGTTTGCAATGGTACACCCTGGGCTCTGAAGAATTTTTTCTATGGCATTTTTTCTACGGCCAGGTGCATCCTGTGCTTTGTTGGTATTTCCTGGCAGGTTATGGTGTTTGGGCACCACCAGCACCCAAAGCCAAAATGTTTAATTGCTGTGTGACGGTTGCATTTATGGTTAATGTTTGTTAAAGCAAGGTCCATCATGTCCTCTGCAGGAATTTTTCTGTGGGCACTACCAACACCCAAGAAACAATCTTTTCACAGCTGTGTGAGAGCAGCACAAAATATACAATTTTTGCCAGGGTTGATCCCCTACTCTGCAAGAATATTAATGTTGGTTTACAGTGTTGTATCTCTTCTACTATTCAAAACCTAATTTTGACAAAGTATCTTTTACAGACATTTTAGGTTGAGTAAATACTGTGTTAACCATTTTTTTCATTGACGTGCATCTTCGTTAAAAATGAATGACACCATGGACTTGATTTACTAAAGGCAAGTAGACTGTGCACTTTGCAAATGCAATTGCTTAGTAAATGAGCAGAAGCTCTGCTGACTTCCATCATCCAATCATGTGCAAGCAAAATGCTGTTTGTTTTTTATTTTTTCCTTGCGTGTGATTGGGTATTCTGGGCAAAGGGAAGCAAAGGTTTGAAATTCCCATATATAATAGATTTGATTCCCACTACCGGCACTACCCCAGCCAGGCACTACCCTAACCAGGGTTATTGTAACCCAGAACCACCAGAAAGAGAGGATGTAGAGGGGGGATAAAGAAAAAGAAAGCAAAAAAACCTTGATTCTGGCATGTTCAATCTAACATCAATACAGTTTACAACACAGGAATTAGCCTTAGTGAATGAGGGATTAAAATTTGCCCCAATGAAACACCTCAAGAAGTTTGAGGCATTTATAGATGTGAAAACATTTGCTAGAAAGCTAAATATCAAAAAGTTTTTCAAGGAGGGAGAAAAAGTAGGGATGAATATTCCCATACGGGTTTAAGGAATAAATCCACATTTAATCCAAAAACTTCTCAGTATCAATATATAGATGTTTTTAAAACCATGGTCCAGGAAGATATATCAAAGATTACAATTAATAAAGGCAGAGTCCATTCCAAGAAAACATGGGAAGCTATTAAGTCTTTAGAAAAAAAAATAAAGATATAGTGATTAGAGCAGCTGATAAGGGGGGAGGTCTAGTCATTTTGTCGCAGGCTCAATATGAGGAGGAAATGCAGCAACTTTTACAGGATGATAACACATATAAAAATTACAAAGTGATCCCACTAATAAACTCAAAGGGGAATTAACTAAATTAATTAAAAGAAGTAGCAAATCTAATATTTTAAATAAAAAGAGGCCAAATATGTATTACCCAGAATACCGGTTATTTATCAGGTTCCAAAGATATACAAAAATCCAATCAAACCCCCAGGAAGGCCCATAATAAGTGGCATAGGTTCATTGCATTTGAGAATGGGAGATTACACTGATTACTTCTTACAGCCTATGGCCACACAAGGTAAAGCCTATTTAAAGTAGGGATCTTATTAATTTAATAGAAGGTATTGATGTGACAGAACATACTCTGTTGGTTACGGTAG